TAGGTGGTGGTGGTGCCTGCCTTTAATCCCAGCATTAAATCCATTAATCCCAGAGTTTGAGCCCAGCCTGCTCTACAGAACTAGTTCCAGTACAAGAACTGTGTAGCTCCAAAGCTACACAGAGAGCCCGGCAGTGGTGGTACACGCCTTTAATCCCAGCACTTGGGAGGCAGAGGCAGGCGGATCTCTGTAAGTTCTAGGCCAACCTGGTCTACAAGAGCTAATTCCAGGCCGGGCGGTGGTGGCGCACGCCTTTAATCCCAGCACTCGGGAGGCAGAGGCAGGCGGATCTCTGTGAGTTCGAGACCAGCCTGGTCTACAAGAGCTAGTTCCAGGACAGGCTCCAAAACCACAGAGAAACCCTGTCTCGAAAAACAAAAAAAAAACAAAAAAAAACCACACAAAACAGAAAAGAAAATCAAAGAAAATGTTCTATTTTATTTCTCAAAACAAGGTCTTACAACAGTTCAGGCTGGCCTTGAATTTGAGGCTACCACCCTGCCTCAGCCTGTCAAATGCTGAGGTCACAGGCATGAGCCAGCATGCCCACTTTGTCTTTGAACTTAAAAAAAAAAAACAAAAAAAAGAATGATTAGCTGTGTGTGGTGGTGCAAACCTTTAATCTCAGTATTCAGGAGGCAGATGCTGGTGGATCTCAGTGAGTGAGATCTCTTCTACACAGCCAAGGTCCAGGACAGGACAGTCAGAGCTATACAGCTACACAGTGAAACCCAAAACTCTATCTATTTCTTTTTTTTCAAAACAGGGTTTCTCTGTGTTGTAGCTCTGGCTGTCCTGGAACTTGCTCTGTAGACTAGGCTAGCTTTGAGCTCATAGAATATCCACCTGCCTCTGCCTCCCGACTGCTGGGTTTAAAGGTGTGTTGCCACTATCCTTCCAGCCTCAACTGTGGCTTCCGTTCTGTGTCTAGTGGATGGTGTTAAGCTCCTGGTGCTCCCTGGGATCTGGCATGTTACTCAGTGGTACTGTAGGTCACCAGTTCTAGTGCCGTGGATCCCACAGTGGGCAGCTCACAGCCTGGACTTCTGCTAAGGGGTCCTCTTGGCTTTTGGTTCCAGGCTCTCTGCTGGGTTGCCCTATGTTTGTGTGTTCTGAGTTTCTACTTGCTATTTATCCCCCCTTGTCTTTCACAGGTATCACCCCTAATTTGATCTCTGCATCTTCTTGGAGAACCTGACCTGGCACAGAAGACTTAGTGCCTTGGGCCTTGAGAAACAGGGAAGCTGAAGCTGTGTGTGCAGGAGTGTTTATATAATGACAGACTGCGGCACCTAACTACCTCGTGGGGACTTAGATAATAGCTACAGTATGTATGCCAGACACTTAGTAAACGCCAGCTATCTATCTGTCTGTCTGTCTATCATCTATCTATCTATCTATCTATCTATCTATCTATCTATCTTTATCACTTGTCTTAGTTATTTTTAAACGCTATGACAAAACACCATGAGCAAGGCAGTGTATAGACCAGTTTATCAGAAGCTTGCAGTATCATAGGGTGTGTATCCACGATCATCTTGGTGGGGTGGGCAACATGGCAACAGGCAGGAGTGGTGTTGGAGCCATAACTGACAGTTGGGTCTTGATCCACAAACCTCAAACTTATTCTCCAGTGACACACTTCCTCCAACAAAGGCCACACCTCCCAATCCCCCAATCCTTCCCAAACAGTTCCACCTGCTGGGGACTAAGTATTCAAATATATGAGCCTTTGGGGGCATTTTCATTTCTTTTTCTCTTTCTTTCTTTTCTTTTCTTTTTTTCTTTTTTTTTTAGAGATGAGGATATTGGAGATTAAACCTGGGGCTTCTTCTAGGCAGGCACTTTGCCACTGAGACATAAGAAAAGGTTTTTTGGGGGGCTGGAGAGATGGCTCAGGGGTTAAGAGCATTGCTTGCTCTTCCAAAGGTCCTGAGTTCAATTCCCAGCAACCACATGGTGGCTCACAACCATCTATAATGGGGTCTGGTGCCCTCTTCTGGCCTGCAGGCATACACACAGACAGAACATTGTATACATAATAAATAAATAAAATATTTTAAAAAAAAGAAAAGAAAAGGTTTTTTGGTTTTGTATTTTTTTTTAAGATTTATTTATTTATTATGTATACAACATTCTGCCTCCATGCATGCCTACACACCAGAGGAGGGCGCCAGATCTCATTACAGATGGTTGTGAGCCACCATGTGGTTGCTGGGAATTGAACTCAGGACCTCTGGAAGAGCAGATGGTGCTCTAAACCACTGAGCCATCTCTCCAGCCCCGGTTTTGTATTTTTGAGACAGGGTCTCTCCATTATGTAGCTCTGACTGTCCTGGAACATAGGCTGACCTTGAATTTACAGAGATTCACCAGTCTCTACTTCCCAGGAGCTGGGATCAAAGGCCTGTGCCCATGCCTGGTGAAGAGTTCAAATTATTTATTAGTTATTTTAGATAGATTCTTATATAGCCCAGGCTAGCCTCATATTCAGTGTGTAGCCAAGGATGCTGTCTTAATTAGGGTTTCTATTGCTGTGAAGAAACACGATGACCACGACAACTCTTTTTCTTTTTCTTTCTTTCTTTTTTTTTTTTTCCTGAGAGGCAAGGTTTCTCTTTGTAGCCCTGGTGTCCTGAAATTGGTTAGTAGACCAGGATGGCCCTGAATTCACAGAGATCCACCTGCCTCTGGCTCTTAGAGTGCTGGGACTAAATGTGTGTGCTACCATTGACCAGCTCCACAGCAACTCTTATAAAGGAAAACATTCAATTGGAGCTAGCTTATGGTTCAGAGGGTTAGTCCATTATCTCATGGTGGGAAGACACGGTGCTAGAGAGGTAGCTAAGAATTAGATATCTGGGGAACGGAGAGATGGCTCAGTGGTTAAGAGCACTGGCTGTTCTTTCAGAGGTCCTGAGTTCAATTACCACCAGCAACCACATGGTGGTCTCACAAATATCCATAAAGACATCTGGTGCTCTCTTCTGACCTGCAGGCATACATGCAGACAGAACACTGTATACGTAATAAATAGAAAAAATCTTTTTTTAAAAAAAATATTTATTTATTTACTTATTATGTATACAGTGTTCTGTCTGTGTGTATGCCTGCAGGCCAGAAGAGGGCACAGACCTCATTACAGATGGTTGTGAGCCACCGTGTGAAAAAAAGAATTAGATATCTGGATCCTTTGCAGTAGGCAGGAAGTGACAGTGACACACTGGCTTGGCTTGAGCTTCTGAGACCTCAAAGTCCACTCCTCTGTGACACGCTTTCTTCAACAAGCCACACCTCTGTTCCCTATGCCCCCCCTGCTGTTTTCGTTCAAACCATCACGATGACTTTGAATTCCTTACTCCTCAATCTCCACCTCCCAAGGACTAGAGTCTGGCAGGATTTATTTCTTGTGTCTGGCTTGTTTTATTTCTTTATTTATTAATTTTTTTTTTTTGAGACAGGGTCTTGCGCAGTCCAGGCTGAGCTTGAACTGTGGATGGTGGTGTTAAGGACAACCTTGAACTTCTGGTCAACCTGCCTCTACCTGCTAAAACCTGGGATTATAGTCTCGTGTCACCACACTCTGTGTGTGCTTATTTTAAAAAGTTATTTATTTATTTTTATTTTTCAAGACAGGTTTCTCTGTGTAACAGCCCTAACTGTCCTGGAATTCACTTTGTAGACCAGGCTGGTTTCGAACTCATAGAGATCCACCCCAAGTGCTGGGATTAAAGGCATATACCACCACACCTCCTGGCAAAAATGTTTTTTTGTCAATTTTTTTTTTTTTTTTTTGGTTTTTCGAGACAGGGGCTTTGGAACCTGTTCTGGAACTAGCTCTGTAGACCAGGCTGGTCTCGAACTCACAGAGATCCGCCTGCCTCTGCCTCCCGAGTGCTGGGATTAAAGGCGTGTGCCACCACCACCCGGCTTTTTGTCAATTTTTAAAAAATATTTATTTATTTATGATGTATACAATATTCTGTCTGTGTGTATGTCTGCAGGCCAGAAGAGGGCGCCAGACATCATTACAGATGGTTGTGAGCCACCATGTGGTTGCTGGGAATTGAACTCAGGACCTTTGGAAGAGCAGGCAATGCTCTTAAGCACTGAGCTATCTCTCCAGCCCTTTTTGTCAATTTTTAATTTTGAGACAGGTCTCCATAAATTGCCTGGTTGGTCTGGAAAGCTGTCTGGGGTCCAGACTGACCTCGAATTTGTCATCCTGCCTCAGTCTCTTGACTAGTTGAGATTACAGGCTGGACTACCATGCCAGATACCAGTTCAGTTTTTATACCGTTTCTAAGTATAGGGGACCAGAGCCCCCTGGGCAACTGTGCCACTCTCTGGAGATGGCTTTTTTTGTGGTTTTCGCTTTGCTGTAATGTTGGGTATCTCTGCCCAATGCAGAATTTGGGAGGTTTCTAGGACGGGTTAAGGGGGAAACACGGTAAAATTAAAGGTTTCATAACCTCCAAGGTACTGAATCTGGAGCCAGAATTTGTCGAAGACAACTCTAATCTCAGCAGTCAGGGGGCCCGGGTACAAAGGTCACAAGTTCCAGGACGACTGGAGCTACAAAGAGACCCTGCCTCAGAAAAACTACATCGGGTCACAGCAGAGTAGTGACCCGCACGCCACCGTCCAGAGGGCAAACCAAGGAACGTCCCAAGGCTCCAGGTCTTGCTGATTTAATCCTCCTGGGAGGTGGCCTACCGGGACTCAGATGCACAGGTGGACAAATCCGATTCTGACCGAGCGACACCGACACTTTTGTAAGTCGGTCTGAAGGTCTATCGGACAAAATGACTTTGAGAGTCGGACTGAACTCAGGGGTTACGGCCTGGAGACGCCTCCAGTCCACTCAGCCACAAGGGGGCGCCACCACCACGCCCATGGGTCGCCCCCCGCGGGACTGGGCGTGCTCGAGGTCGGCGGCGGGGCGTGGCCAGCGTGCGCGCGGGGGCGTGGCCAGCCTGCCGCGGGTGCGCGCAGCGGCGGCAGTGGCGGCGGCGGCGCGGCAGCGGGTTCCGTTCCGGGCCGAGGCTGGAGGCGGAAAAGTTGCGGGACGGAGAGGAGCAGCCCCGGGACGGTCAACGAGGGCGACAGCGAGCCGGGGACCGGCGTCTACGGACCGGCCATGGACGACCTCGGTGAGTGCGGGAGGCGGAAGGCGGAGCGGCCAGGGCCCGGCGGCCGCGAGCGGGCTCTGGGGTTTCCGATCCCACCCTGGCGCCCGGCTGGGCTGCGGTGCCTGCGGCCCGGGTTTGCGCGAGCCTCTCTTCGCTGCGTCTCCTAAGGACCCTGATCCCACACTGGGTTCAGGGACCCGTCCGGTTCGCCACGGGGGACAGCGCCTGGCTCCCCGGGCAGACGTCCTCCTCAGCTGCGGGACCCTCACTTCGCTTCCCCACCCCCACCTCCGCACGGCTGCCTCCCGGACTCGGTTTCGGAGGCTGTTCCCTCTCTGTGTGGCTCGCTTCTGTTCCCTCCAGGCCACCTCCCACTTTGCAGACACCCCCCTCCCCCGGTGTCAGGGACAGATCCCCTTTCGAGAGCCCACCCGTTTCACATCACAAGCTACAGGAATGCTTGGGAGGACCACACCCCCACTCGAATGACAAGTGTCCCAGGCTACTGCATAGACCCCCCCACAACCACAACCGCTTCAAATCTAGTCACCCCGTGTTAGTGACCAGTATGGACCAGTATGGACCAGCCCTTTCATTCACAGACCAACCCTTCCCCTTCAAGTCTAAACTTAGAAAGGCAAGTTGGGGGTGGGTTATGACTCCCGCCCCTCACCCACCATCCCCAGACCCGGGTGAAATGCCAGAGGAATGAGGAGGAGAATGGCCCCGCAGGGTATGGCCATCCCTGAATGTGTCCTAGCTGGCAAGGTCCCCCACCCCCAACGTCAGGTCTGCTGGAAGCCTTTCGGGTAAGGACAGGATGCCCAGAACAGAGTTTCACTGTCCTCATGTTATTGGAGCCTGGAGGCTGTTCTTTTCAGTCCACTCTTGGTCTGGTGTTAGGACAGAGGGAAGAAAGATTCTCCTGGAAGTTAATTCTGAACCCATGGGGATTGATGCAAGGGTTCTAGGAATTCCCCGGTCCCTGTCTTTCCTCCTAGGGCCCCAGTTGAGGAGGCATGTGTGGGTAAGTTCCCTTCTCTGTAGGAGCCTTGTCTTCTCTCTCCGGACTGTGGGCGGCTTGTGTGACCACTGGTGCCATCGGTGTCCCTGGCTCTGGGGAGCAGATTCACTAGATAAGACTGAGGGGCCTCTCTCAAGCCGCACAGTGCTCGAAGTTAAGATGGATTATTTGTAGGCACTGGACCTAAATGCCTCCCTGCAGCTGCCTTGTGGGATCAGGGAGCCCCTGAAACACCCTGGAGCTGGGGATGATGTTGGGTCCTGTTTGTTTCTCAGAGTGGGATTGCTGCCAGGCATAGTTATGCCTTTGGGTCAGGCTTGGCATCCGCATTCCCATCGCACTCAAGGTTGGCATAGCTTCCAGGCAGGTATTTTTCGTTTTTATTTTTCCACATAAAAATACCTAAGCTGAAAGGAGGCTGGGACGAGGTGCTTCTGATGAGGCCCCTGAAAGTCTCAGTGTTTCCCTGTGGGAACTGGGGAGCCTGAGCCGAGTCCCAGCGGCTCACAGGCTTGGGAGGGCTCTCTTGGTTCTGCACAGTCCCTGTGCTGTTTGAAGGACTGAGAAAGCCTTTGTAGAGTTTACAGAGTCCGGAATTCCCATCTTCTGACGGTCTTCCATTTAGGGCCAGAACACTGGGTTGTCTTTGAAAGGAAAGAGAGTGTCTGGCAGACGGGAATTGTAGGAATCAAAATGTGCTCTTTATGGAGTGCTTGCCCATGCCTGGATTTGTCCCATCCTCACGACGGCCATCCTGCACAATCACCCCAGGCCACCTTTTTCCCCATGCAAATTGGGGAAGCAGAGCCCAACAGAGGCTGTTTCTCTGACTCAAGGCTGCACAGCCAAGAAACACATCCGAGCCCAGTCCCTGTGCGCTCCTGTGTGCATTGCTTCCCAGGAAGGGAGCAAGCAGGCGCTGGCAGGAGGGGTGGCAGTGGGGCCAGCCTGCCACCTGTGACTTCTGCTGCCTTCCGCAGACTCTCCAGTTGCTGGATCCATGCTACCCGACTTGCATAGTCTGAGCTCTCAGGAGGCCGGTCACGCCTGGCTGACCAGAGCTTAGGGTGGGGGGAACGGGTGTTCAGGAGGGCAGAGGAATTTGCTTCTGAGCCTAGGCGGTCAGCTGTCTGGATGGCTGCTCAGCACCCTGCCCGTCAGCTGTTTTCCTAAGTTAGGGTGGATATGATGGCCAGCCCTCTTGTTTTTATTTGTTTCCCAAGAGAGACCTGAACTGTGACCACCCTGGTCACTGAACATGGAGGATAGTTTAGGGTGGGCTCCCTGTGGCAAGGCCACAGGGTATATAGATTCCATGATAACTTTGTTTTTTGGCTTAAGGGTAAAAAATAAATAAATAATTTGGAGCACTCCTCTCCTCCCCATAGTGGTCAATGAAAGAATCACCATGTGCTGTTTAATAAGTTACAAATTTATAGCTCTTTGGGCAAAAAAAACAAAACAAAACAAAAAAACCATAAACACAGTGTCCTGCCCTTCTCTGTGTTCTCTGTGCCTTGTGCTGTCGGGTGGCTGGTTGGTGGCTTTCCTCATTAGAGCTTAGATGCTGGTTTGGCTGGGAGCTCGTTCTGTTCACGTTCTGGCCGGAGTTTCCTGGACAGAGTTCTCACAACACAGATGCACTGATTCTGCTCTCTGCCCTGGCTCTTTTCTCTCCGTGTTCACATCCTTAATGTATTTGGGGAGGCCTGATGGTGGTCCCTCGTGCTCCACAGGAGACAGGCACTACGTGCAGCGCTCACTCTCTCTCTTTTTCCCCCTACAACTATTAAGAATAAGGTGTTTTTATCTCTGCTTCACAGATGGAGAAACCTGAGCTGGGGAAGTTATGTGACAGAGCTGGGGTTTGAACCTAGACTGATCCAGTTCTGGAGCAGATTGTCTTAATTATGAAGCCGCAGGAGCTAGTACTAATCATGGGGCGGACCCAGAGGCCTGCGAGGAACTGATTGTTACCTTTGAAATTTCTGCTCCGCCAGCCAGGGAGGTCCCTAGGAAATGACTTGATAGCATTGCCTTCTCATCCACTAATGTGGGACGCAGCCAGCTGTTGGCAGTGTCCAGTCTGCTGGAATCTGCTCATGTCTCCTTTTAACTTCTCAGCAGTCTTGACCCTTTGGAAAACAGTGCTGCTTTGTGTTTGGGGGCGATACTGGGGGGGGGGGAGTAAGGGATTTGCCTGGGGCATTCTGGGCTACAGAGCCGCTCAGTTTCCATGGAGAATTTGGCCTTAGCGCTTGCCTGTATGTGGTACCTCTGTGTGTCGGGCCTGGGCCAGGTCACCCAGTCACTGGGCTGTGGCAGAGGCAGCATCTATCCATGGAGCAGTGGTATCCTGGTGGATGTTTTGCAAGGTGCATGCTAGTAAGGGCTTCAGCTTGGATTTGAACCCTGGGTTGTGTTTGATTGTTAGGCAAATGCCTTTTTGGTAAGCTCAACATGGATGGAATGGAAAGTCGTGGGCTTTGGGCAGGGCATGGCCTTATCATGCTGTGAGTGGTGGCCCTAGGGAGCATGGCAGTGTTCTCTCTTTCAGCTTCTTCAGCGATGGCCCTGTGTTGGAGAGACTGGGCCAACCATTGGCTGGGGGCCTAACAAAGGCCAAGAGATACTGTCGAGGCACTGAGTGACCTCTCCATGTGCTCATCATTGGGGGAGCTTCTTGGGGAGCTTCTTGTAGGTCTTTACAACTTATTTATTTGTTTGTTTGTTTATTTAGACAGTGATTCTCTATGTAGCTGTGGCCATCTGGAACTCACTCTGTAGATCAGGCTGCCCTTGAATTCACAGAGGTCCTCCTGCCTCTGCCTCCAGATGCTGGGATTAAAGATGTGCGACCACTGCCCCTTTCCTGGGAACTGTCTATGCACTGGAGGGGCTGAAGGGCATTGGTGGTCATGCCTGCTGGTCAGTGGAGGGCTCTGTTCTGCTCTCACCAGCCACCTGTCCAGTCACCTGTCCCCTTGACACAGCTGTAGGCTTATAGCACAGCTGCCAGGAGTTGGTCAGCCCTTCGCCACCCTACACGGATGCATCCTTAGTTTCATTGGGGTATATGTACTTTCTGCCATTTGAACAATACCATCTCTAGTGGAGAAGCTGTTAAAAATGTCAGGGTAGACTTCATGTGGTGGTGTACACTTCTAGCCATAGATTTCAGGAGGCCAAGGCAGGCAGATCTCAGCTTGGTTTACATAGGGAATTCCAGCCTCAAACGTGCTGAGACCCAGCCTCAAAAAGAAAATGAAAATGTTAAGGAAAGGAAGAAAATGGAGGGTGCCGCCGGGCGATGGTGGCGCACGCCTTTAACCCAGCACTCGGGAGGCAGAGGCAGGCGGATCTCTGTGTGTTCGAGACCAGCCTGGTCTACAGAGCTAGTTCCAGGACAGGCTCCAAAGCCACAGAGAAACCCTGCCTCGAAAAACCAAAAAAAAAAAAAAAAAAGAAAGAAAGAAAAGAAAAGAAAATGGAGGGTGCCCTGTAGGGGTAGGAGAAGGGCAGGGAGAGGAAGAGGGGGATTAAAAAGCCGAGAAGTGTTGGTTAACCAGCTCGTTAAAAGGAAAGGTCAAGGTTCATCTCCTCACCAAGCACAAGCTTCCATTCTCCTGTCAGGCCTCGGTATACATTCAGACTCTGATATATTTCTAACTGACTGATTGCCTAACCACTGGGGCTTAGCACTGGCCTCCCTAGGGAAGCTTTGGACACTGAGCCAGTAGAAGGCAGATGTGCTGTTGGGAAGGCCTACCACAGCCCCAGTGGCCAAGGCTTCCCTTGAAGATGGCCCTAAATGCTGCTTTCTGCTGTGATGTGGTATTGTGGTTTAGGGGAGAAGAGCGTCTTTCGTGGGGCGTGGGAAAGTAGGAGTGAAGTGTCACGAAGCCTGTAGCATTCATTCACTCATTCATTCATTCATTCATTTTTTGGTTTTTTGAGATAGGGTTTCTCTGTGAAAGATTTCTGGCTCTCTTTGTAA